CCAAATAAAGCATTGGAGAAGGAAACAGCAACCCACTCCAGTGTTCTTGCCTGGAGAATCCCAGGGATGGGGGAGCCTGGTGGGCTGCCGTCTATGGGGTTGCACAGAGTCAGACAGGACTGAAGTGACTTAGCAAATAAAGAATACAAGTGGATATATTAGACATGAGAAAATTTGTTTATAAGAAGATTAAATTTTATACTTTGTTTCATCTGGGGAAGTCTGGTGGCTCAGGAATAGTAGAAACGGGTGGAGATTGTAACGGGGCGGGCGCACAGTCAGTATTGCATGACCTCTAGCAAGACCCTTAAGCCAGGGCTTCCCTGGCAGCTCAGCTGGTACAGAGCCTGCCTGCGGTGCGGGAGACCTGGGTTCAACCCCTGGGTTGGGACGATCCCCTGGAGAAGGGAACCACTCCTAACTTTAGTAGTCTGGCCTGTAGAATTCCATGGACTGTATAATCCATGGAGTCACAAAGAGTCAGACACGACTGAGCGACTTTCACTTCACTAGCCCAGGGGTCAGAGGTCATGCACCACCAATGAGCAACCTGGGAGCAGTCCTGGCAAGAATACAGTAACAGTCGACAGAGGCTTTCTCCACGCACCATCCAGGCCCTTCAGGCCTCAGGGCAGGCAGGTGAGATGGGGGCCCAGGACAGTGTGAGGACTGTGTCCCACAGAGCTCCAGGGCCCTCAGCCTCAAAGCAGCCACGAACCTCTCCCCCACCTCCACCTCCATGACCTGTGGGCAGCAGCAATCCACTTGGGCAGTGGTCCCCAGATACCTCAGAAGCTGGAGGATATGATCTTGGCCATTAAAAAAGAGCTTCACCAGCTTCTGTCTCTCCACTCACGTTTCCACACTTGGTCCAGTGTTGATCAGTCCAGTGTTGATCCAGGTGGCGAGGAGGTTAGGGTTGGTGTACAAGTGTCTTACACATCATTACTTGAGGCTTGCCTCTATAGTTGGGGCCTCTCTCAAAGAAGGTAATTGTGAACTGGGAATTAATCTGATTGGTATTTGCTACTAGTTATTCTCTCCGGTTTAAATGAACTCTGAGGGTTTGTCCCTTTTCAGCAGGAGTCCCCTCTGTTTTCCTTTGGAGCCATTGACATAAAGAGTTTCAGTTTTCTGAGGACAAAAATCACACAACATAAGTACATAGAGTACATAAGAGTACAAGATGCTGACACCCTCACACTCTTCCTCTAATAACAGGCACACGAAACAGTCTATGAACACCATCAATATCCAAGGATAATTCCTCTGCTGAGGGACAATCTAATTGATGAAGGTGGGGCTCTCTTGCCAGCTCTGGTTGGAGAGGTGCCCTGATCCTGGGTCCCTACAGGGGATGAGGGCTGGGAGTACAGAGCTAGAGATTGATTTCCCAGGAAAAAGGGATGGCCCCACATTCTAGTGTCTCCAGAAAAAACTGCATCATTTAGATGGTTGGGATTGTGTGAATGAGGGTGTTTGGAGGTGGACATGTGTTGAACTCACATAGTGTGATTGTGAATCTGCCTGTCTGTATATTTTCTCAGGAGATATTTCCTCTTAGACAATAAACCTGTCCATTTTCTTTTTGCAAAAAGCCTCATCACCACTGCACACTCTTTGCATTCCATCTTATGCGTTCAACATAGCCCAGATTCAGTTCATGTACCCTTTAGTCAGCTGAGAGGGTGCAGGGATCTGTGTTCTCAGCTCTTGACCTCCTAAGAAAAAGGCAAACCGAGAACCTAGGGGTGGTCCCAGTGTGGCTGATCTGGACGCCCGACCTGCACTTATCACTCAGTCATGAGAACCTGAGTCATGGAGCAAGGGAGTCCCTGTATCTATGCCCATGCCTGGAGGGATTAAAAGCTCCAGAGGTCCAGATCCTGCCCATCATTATAAGATGGTGTAGCTAGACCCCAAATTGTTGAGGAAGCATATACTCCTTACCCTCATGTTGAGGGTCTCTGATTCAAGGGCCCCAAGTAGCAGTTGGAGGAAGTGGTGGCACTAAGAGTTTGAACAACCATTTGCAATTTAAAAGCCTTCATGTGACTAGAAACAAATCCAGCTACACTGTTACAGATGCAGGGAGCAAACAGTAAAAACAGGACATTAGAATTATTAAAATTCAGATAATTTTCCATTTGTTAACGTGGAAACTAGTTAATGTCTCCCAACATGGCACCGCTGAGCCTTAGGAGTATCCATAGCCCGAATCATCTTGTTTCTGTGTTTAGTGAAGTGAGTAACGTTAGTGCTCGTATCAGGTATATATGTACAACATTGGATATGAATAATGGCACAAGTTCCTCTTTGTGCAGCTGGTTAGAATATCTAAGGCCAACCTGTTTTGTAAAACCACCTTTCTAATTTGTATTTGTTCAGCATTAAGGGCTGAAATAGCTTTTTGAGAATCTTGTGAACCCTATTGAGTAGAGTTAGTCAGAGCATCAACTCATAGCATAATGTCTAGAGTTCCGAGAGAGGGAACAAATGCTGCAGCCAAGTAATCATACCAGTGAAATACAGACCTTGTCCAATAAGCTCTAAGGTGTGGCAAATTAGCAGGCTTCTCTGGAGGTTCTGAAAATATGAAGCCATGAGTACAAGCTAGACCTAGGAGCTTGTGGTGCTTTAGTTGCTAAGTCATGTCTGACTCTTGCAACCCCATGGACTATAGCCTGCCAGGCTCCTCTGTCCATGGGATTTTCTAGGCAAGAATACTGGATTGGTTTGCCATTTCCTTCTCCAGGGGATCTTCCCGACCCAGGGATGGAACCCAGGTCTCCTGCACTGCAGGCAGATTCTTTACCAACTGCGCTACCAGGGAGACCTAGGGTGCATCTCCCTATCCAGCCAGGGGAAGCCACATCCATAGATAAGAGCCACATATCAAGTAGGTGCCATTTGGAGCAAGCCAGTGTAACTTAGGGATCCAGTCCCAGTCAGTGCCCCGCCAGTCAAAAGGAGGACCTGAACTGGGATTAGAAGACACAGGAATGATTACATTGCTTCTTGAGGCAAAAATCCCAATTGTTTCCAGTCGTTATAACTAAGTTGTTGGCTAACTTCTGGGGATCGCTCTATTTGTTCCCAGCATATGGGGGCACTCCTTTTCAGGAGTTAGCCATATGACATCACCCCATATTTGATAAACACCCAGTAAAAAAAAATCCACCAGGCATAGACCCATTTGTCTTCTTCTGTGCAGCAAAATAGTCATTAAACCAAGACAAAGTATAATCAAGGTTAAAAATCACATTATGTCCATAGTTGAGGTACTAAGTGTTACACCAGTCCATCTTAGGATTGTTTGCTGTCATCAGATTGAGAAGAGGCATCACATGTGATTGCTGTTGATGAAAGTAGACACAGACTTGGAGAAAGTCCTCTCCCTGAAGTGGAGACTCCCACCATGGGAAGCCTTCCACTGGTGAGGAAATGGAGCACTCCGCAGACCCAGCAATTAGACCGATTGTGGGAGGCAGCTTAGCTGTGGGCCCAGGAGGGGAAGTCATTGTCTTGAGAAAGTCAAATGGCAGACTCAGGATTCTTGGAGTCAGCAGAAATAGGACCACATAGGTTATCAGGCCCACTGAAAAGTAAAAACTAAAAGCATAGAGAATAGAGACATAAAAATGACATCGCTTTGTCTGGGGTCAGGATGCACCACTCACAAATCAATTCCTGGCACCTTGACAGCTCTGGGAGAGGAAAGAATAACCTGATAAGGGCTTTTCCAGAGGGGCTCAAGAGATTCCCCCTCCACCCCAGATATCCTGTTGCCACACTCAACTTTTGTGAGTGTGACCAGGAATGAGGCTGGGTCAACCTGTTTCTCTTCCAGGCAGTCATTGTCTCCATGCATCTCTGCTTATAACCTTGCCTTCCTCCTTTTCCTGTTGCTTCCTCTCTACTTCCTTCCTCATTTCTCTCCTCTAATCACTGTTCCTTTCCTTCCTCCTTGAACCTCCACCTACCCTAGAGTTCTCCAGCATGGGCACATTGGAGGAAGGATCATGGGTGTGTGGCTACCGTCTCCAATCACAGCTCTTGAGTCAGGCAGAATTAGAGCTGGAGAGGACCTGGGGATGGGTCCAACCCACTTATTTTACAGTCAAAGGGGAAGGATCCAACCTGGGCACACTGGAGGAAGGATCATGGGTGTGTGGCCACCAATCAGTCCATTGTTTAATTAGCCAATCCACGCCTCCCAGGGAGGACCTGGCACGGACCTGAAGGTGTGTTGAGCCCCGGGTGGGGGAAGGATAAAAATTCCACGTAACAGTGTCGTGTTGCCTTTGGTGACCTTAGCTACCTGGGAGATACTTAATGCTCATAGCAACATCTTAAGTTTCCCAGACCCTTAGAGAGGACAAAGGCAAACACATCCATTTCATTTAGCCATTATGATGTGACAACAATCTTCCATAAACACATGTAGCTGCCGGGTCTGCACTGAGACTCGGAAAATTGGGAAGGATGGGACCTAGGAAGGTGTAAGCAAAGGACACAGGATGGGGCAGGCCTGGAGTGGGGAGAGAAGGGGACAGGCTGTCTGGACGGAGCAGTGGGTTCTGAGAGGAGCAGTGGCCCCAGAACCTGCTGCCCTGAGCCTGGTCAATTCCAGGAGACCGGGTCAACAGGGCTGTGAAAGCAACTGTGTGAAGAAGCCCACGGGCCCTTCAGTCTCTAGAATCCTACAGCCAAGGAGGGTCTCTAGGAATACCTCAACACAGACCGCTCTCACATGGAAACACCTTCAGCACATCAGCCTTGGGGAGCTGTGGAAGCTGAGATGAGCTCCAGGAGACTGAGCCCAGACAGGGACCCCAGAACACATGTGCTGTGATTCATCCACCCCTGGGAGCATCCTTTACACAAATAAACAGTGAGGACAAACATGCGTGGAAGCCTCAAGTCCTGAAAGTGAAGAAAGAGAGAGTTCATGTCTCACCCACCACCTCACATGCCCTACAAGGATGTTGTCTCCAGTGTCAAGTGGCAGTGAGAGTTTTATGCCCACCAGGATATGGCCATCATAGTTCAACATGCAATAGAAAACATAGTCTGCAGTGCGCAGTACCCCAGATGTGCTGACCAGAGTCCAAGCTTCCATACTAGTCTGTGACAAAAGCGAGAAAGAGCAGCTTTTATGGGAAAAATAATTTTTGAAGAGCAAAGCAAGAAAAGGTGATTATAAACAGAGCACAGTGCAAGTCCAAGGACTCAATCTCTATCATATCATTAAAATATGAAAGAAACAAGTCAAAGCTCTGCACATATTTCCTTTTTCCTGATTCCATGTTCACCTTCCTCAGTCTCCAAGCAGGCAGTTTAACTCTAAAGTTCCAGGAATTCTCTCCCATCAGATCCATCTGAATGTTGTTTCCTACCTGCGTCCCCTTCTTCATCACTGCAGCAAATGCTCTCCACAATGCACTCTATAGAAACACAACCATAAGCAACAAGGGGATTAGAATGAGTGATCCACCCACTTCTGCTCCATTTGAGGTCCTGCTGGCTCTCAAGCAAGACCTTGATCTTTCTCCCAGGGTCCTGGAGAGACACCCCACTGTCGATAGCAGATGGCAGTCATCTGTGCTCTGTGCAGTCACAGCCCTTCAATAAGACACTGATCTCAGTTGCAAACCTAAAGATAGAGATGCTGAAAAAGTCAGTTTTCAACTTCTCACTTCTACAAGCTGATTAGAGCTCTCACCATCTTTCTAATCAACCTGAAATTATAACAGTCACATCTGGCTAGTGGCTACCATACTGCAATGCACAACAACCACTATATATATACTATATATATATATACACACACACATATATTTACATATGCATGTGTGCTTAATCACTGAGTCATATTTGACTCTTTGCCACCCCATGAACCGTAGCATGCCAGACCCTACTGTCATGGAATTCTCTAGGCAAGAATACTGGAGTGGGTAGCCATTTCTTCCTGCCAGGGGATCTTCCTGACACAGGCTAGAACTCAGGTCTCCGGCATTGCAGTTGAATTCTTTATCATCTGAGCCACCAGGAAAGATTGATTGGACCTTAATATCAGCACCAAATATTCTACCACTTCTGATAGATTATAGCAGAACAGATTTTGGAGTACCAGGGAACTTTGGTACAAGGGAGAGTGGCTTCCCAGGTGGCTCAGGGGTGAAGAATTTGCCTGCCAATGCAGGAGATATGGGTTTGATCCCTGGATTGGGAAGATCCCCTGGAGGAGGAAATGGCAACCCATTCCAGTATTCTTGCCTGGAGAATCCCAGGGACAGAGGAGCCTGGCAGGCTGCAGTCCATGGGGTCACAAGAGTCAGACACGATTGAGTGACTAAACCACCACCACCACCTCTCACATGGTCATTCCCTCTGCATTATCTGGGCATGTCAACACAGCTGTTTATTGATAGATTAACCTCTGACCTATGAAAATATTTAGCCTGAGGGACTAAGAGCAATATGGCCCTCTACTGGTTTCCATGGTAACCAATGGTAATCAATGAGCCAATCTGCTGTTTATTCCCCCTGTAACAGGTAGACTCCCTATCACCCTAGAGTGAAGAAGGCTGCTGCTGCTTTGTTCTGCCTGTTACCTGCTATCCACAGTGGGTGTCTCTCCAGGACCCTTTTGCTTCAGACATGTAAGATATCCCATCTATTAAACCATTGATATCTCTGTCCTTGACTCCGAGATCTTTATTTGGCCTCAAGTCCTGCAGGCCTGTAAGTGTAGTTCAACAGCTTCTGCAGAATATCTGGATGGCCTGATTTGATGATTTATTTGTAGGTATTTCCTGGGCTCAAGCACACATCCCAGGTACTCGTGAGCCTTTGGGGACACTGAAACAGTTATGTCAACACTGAGATCTTAGAGGAATTCCCAGCAGGTGTTCCACTTGAGGGGACAGGTAATGGACATATGGCCCAGTGCAGCTGTGATAAACATAATCGGAGAGCAGGTGCAAAAGGGAGGGAGGGACACTTCATCTCTTCACGAGCCCATCCTTCCCACCACTGTCTCTGAAAAATCCATGGAGGGCAAGGACAAAGTGTGTTTAGAAAGGAAATGACCTCTACACTGAAAACTACAAACCATACTGAAAGAATGAAACAAGGCACAAGCAATTGGAATGCTCATAATTGTTGACATTTCTAGACTACCTAAAGCTAAGTATAACTTCACTGCAATGCCAATCAAAATATTAATATCATTTTCACAGAAATGGAAAAGACAAATCCAAACCACTCTGTACGCTAGTCTCTCCATCATGTTCAACTCTTTGCTACCCCATGGACTGTAGGCCACCAGGATCCTCTGTCCATGAAATTTTCCAGGCAAGAATACTGGAATGGGTTGCTATTCTCTTCTCCAGGGGATCTTCCTGATTCAGGTATTAAACCCAGGTCTCCCACATTGCAGGCAGATTCTTTACCATCTGAGCCGCCAGGGAGTCGGTGGCTCAGACGGTAACCAGTAAGGTTTCCAAATACGCAAAGTAATCTTGAGAACAAAGATCAAAGTTTCTCACCTCCTGATTTCAAAGCACATTACAAGATAGAGGAATCAAAGCTGTACGATACTGACATAGAAACAGATACATAATCCTAAAGACCAGAATAAAGAGCCTTCAAGTAAATTCATGGAAACATGCTCAAATGAAATTCACCAAGGTTCTAAGACAACAAAATAGGGAACCGGTAGTCTCTTCAACAGTCAGTAGGATGAAAACATAATGTACAGAAAAATTACAAACCATACATCAGATAAGGAGCTCATACTCAAAATAAATAAGAAAATAACCACAACTCAAATGTAAAACAAATAAAAAATGTTTAAAGAATAAATGAGTTGAGGAATGTGCAAAGACTTAAACAGACATTTCTGGAACAAGACATACAAATGGCTAACAGACACAGGAAAGGTTCTCAACCTCACTAATCATCAGGGTAATGCAAATCAGCACCTCATGCCTGTTAGGTTGTGTATGATAAAGACAAAAAAATTAAGAAGTTAAGGCCATGATGTGGGGCGCTGGAACCTTGGGACACTGCTGGTGGGAACATAAATTTTGCAGCTATTTTGTGGAAAACTGTACAAAAGTTCCTTATAAAAGTATAAACAGAATATCATATGATTCATCAAACAAAGTTCTGGATATATATACAAAGGAAATTAAATCAGTATCACAAAGAGATATCTGCAGTCCTAAGTTCACTGCATCATTCTCCACAGCAGCCTAGATACATAACCAACTTCACATAGCAAATAAGTGTCCTGTGCCTGAGGTAAAGGTAGCTAACAGGGAGATACTTAATTCTCAAAACAACTGCATAAGCCTCTTAGCCCATTATAGTGTATGAAAACAATGTTAGAATTAAAGTAACGTGTCCAAATTATCTTAGTCTGAAATGGTGCAACAAAGTTTCTATGGATCGAGAAGCCTCATACATACACAGCACCTGCCAGGGTTTACCACAACCTTGGGAGGACTGGGAGGAATGAGACCTGAGAATGTTTGAAGAAAAGTCAGAGGGTGGGCAACTGGGGTGTGGGGAGTAAGGGCAGGGCTGTCTGGATGGAGCATTGGGTTCTAAGAAGAGCAGTGACCCTGGGTCCTGCTGCTGTGAATCTCTGACCTAGGTCTGGTCAGTCCCGGGAGACCAGATCAGCAAGGCTGTGAGAGGAAGTGTGTAAAGAAAGCCCCTTCATAGTCTCTAGAATCTGCAGCCATGCTGGTCTCTAGGGGCAGCTTGACATGGACCACTCTCACGTGGAAGCACCTTCAGCACATCAGCCTTGGGGAGGTGTGGAAGCTGAGGTGAGCTCCAGGAGACTGAGCCCAAGCAGGCATCCCAGAGCACATGTGCTTTTACTCATCCAACCCTGAGAGCACCCTTTACACAAATAAACAGTAACAACAAACATGAGGGGAAGCCACAAGTCCTGAAATTGCAAAGGGAGAGAGTTCACATCTTACCCATCACCCGACTCTCACTCCAAGAACTTGGTCTCCGGTATTAAGTGATTATGAGACTTTTGTGCCCACTAGGATATGGCCATCATAGGATAATTTAAAGATGAAGCCAAAGTCTCTTGTGCATAATACCCTTCAGGTACTAGCCACAAGTCAAGCGTTCATATTTGGCAATTAAAAGATAAGCAAACAATAGTCTTGTGATAAAGGACATTTCTAAATTTCAAAGCAAGAAGAGATAATTACAAGCACAGTACAATAAAGCACATGGACGCATAGCTCTACTATATTAAAATATGAAAAGAACAAATCAAAATTCTATGCATAGTTGCTTCTTCTTTCTCAGTTTATATTCACCTTCCTTCATCTCCAAAGAAGCAGCTATAACCCAAGTGGTCCAGGAACCCTCTCCCTCTAAATCCCCCCTGAGAGTTGATCCCTACCTGAGCTCTCTTCCACATCACTGCTGCAATGCTCTCCACAATCCATTCTGTAGGAACACAACAATGAGCAACGATATAGTTATTATACAAATTGACCCACCATTTCAAGGAGGGAGGTTCCCAGACCTCCCTTGTGCTTTGTGGAGTCAGAGACTTTCAACACGACATTGATCACAGTTGTAAAATTTCTCATGAGAGAGAGATGCTGAGAGAATCACCTTTCAACCTTACACTTCTACAGGCCCAATATAGCTCTTACCTTCAAGCTTACCAACCTGAAATTCCAAAACTTATGGACACACTTGAAATATGACTAGTGTGACTAGGCCATTGCAAAGGTTTTGTGTGTTTTTAAAAATACAACAAGTTAATTATTGTTTGAATCCTGTTACTTACAGATAGGCAGATCTGACTAGTGGCCACTACACTGGAAAGTTCGACTCTACGAACTGGAAAGATAAGGAAAACACAGCTAACTGCCTGTCCCTTGGTGGTTCTTTATTGCAGAATGTTTAATGGTCCGATATGATCATTCATATTTAGGCATATCTGGGGCTCCTGGACCCAGGCCAGGCTTAGGAGAGTCCTGTGGACATTCAATAGTAAGGTGGACACTCAGACCAATAGAAAATTCCCAGTCGGGGGCTCACTCATAGGCAGACATGAAGGGCATGGCCCAGGGCACCTGTATCACATGTAACCAGAGAGTAGGTACAGCAGGGAGGGAGGGACTTTCAGTCTCTTCATGAGCCCATCCTTCCTATCCCTGACTCTTGAGGACACAAGCAAGGCAGGAGAAAAGGCTCCTTAGGAAGTGAAAGATTTGTGCACTAAAAACCACAGGACACTGTTGAAAGAAAGAAGAGACACGTAATCGGAGTGACATACCACATTCATGGAATGTTTAGTGTTGTTGACCTTCCTATACTACTAAAAAGTAATGTACATATTCATTGTAACCACTCATAAAGCCCCATGCCATTTTTATAGAAATGGAAAAAAAATTCTAAAATATTAATATTTACGGAACTCAGAAGAAACCCAAAGAGAAAAAACAATCTTGAGAGCAAAGAACAACAATGACGACTCAGGCTTCCTTAATTCAAAACACAAAAGAATGCCACAGCAGTGTTCTAGCAGCAACAAAATAGGCAGAGAGACCAATGAAACATAAGAAGGGAATCTCAAATAAATTCACACATGTGTGGCCAAATGATCTTTGCCAAGGTTCTAAAATTACCAAGTGAATAAAGGATAATCCCCCTCAACAATCAACATAATTAAAAGGGAACCTGTAGAATGAGAGGATGTATCTGCGAACTTTGTATCTGAATAAGGGGCCAATATCCAGAATATAGAAGCAGCTAACAATTCAACTTCAAACATCAGCAAGCAAATAACTGAGTTTATAAAATGTGTAGAAACTTTCAATAGACATTTCTTCATAGAAGACAGAGAAGTGATCAATATATATAGGAAAAGTGCTCAGCATCACTAAGTACCAGCAAAATGGAAACCAAGTAAAAAGGAGATATCACCTTTCAGGATGTGTTTTTAAAAAAAAAGAAAGAAAGAAAGAATAACAGTTGTTGGCAAGGATGTGCACAAGTGGAACTTTTATACCATGTTGCTAGAAATGTAAAATGGCATAGCCATTATGGAAAGCAGTTTGGGGGTCCCTGAAAAAATTAAGAGAACAATCATAAGATCCAGCAATGACTCATTAGAGTTTATGTCCAAAGGATTAGAGTTTATGTCCAAAGGAAATAAAACTATAATGTCCAGAAGGTATCTACAATCTCATGTCTATAGCCACATTGTACACAACAACCAAATAGAAAAACTGCCCAGTGTCCAGAAGCAGATGAAGCAATAAAGAAAATATGGAGTATAGGTACAGTGGAATGTGATTCAGTCTTTAAAATAGAAGGAAATTAAAAAGACAACCTCTTTAACAAGTGGTGCTGGGAAAACTGGTCAACCACCTGTAAAAGAATGAAACTAGAACACTTTCTAACACCATACACAAAAATAAACTCAAAATGGATTAAAGATCTAAATGTAAGACCAGAAACTATAAAACTCCTAGAGGAGAACATAGGCAAAACACTCTCCGACATAAATCACAGCAGGATCCTCTATGACCCAC